TGCTCTTGGTAGGTAGTGTGTTATTGTTTTTCCCCTGCTCCAGATTTCTCCAGCATCTCCCAGGACAGCTGGAAATCTTCGGTTGGCAGATCAGGGTGCAACGAGGCATTTTTAGCATTCCAGTGAACAGTGGAATGGGTTCAGGTTGGAAAAAGTTTCTTCAAGCTCCATGCGCTTATAAAAAGGTATATAAAGATGTGTACAAAGAGTATTTATTGGTTGATTTTGGTTAGTTTTAGGCATTTTTTTCTGTATTTAGATAGGATGAGGTCCATTTAACCAGGCGCTTGGCTCTGGACCCTTCTACTGATCACAATTTAGCCTATGGGGTATGCACCCTAACGACTAGGACACCAGTGTCCCCTCAATACCAAAATGCATCTGTTTATAGATGATGTTGCAGAAACTATCATTTCAGTTCAATCCAATTAATTTCAGTTGTACTACTACGCCGACACATGACAGAGTAAAATCTCCGCAAAACGCATCCATTAAAAAAAATAAAAAGGATTACCCCTTTCAGCTTTATTAATAGTGTCAACACAAGCAGTTTGCACTTACTCTCAGCCTGAAATATGATGCGATTTGTAAACATCAGAGGGAAGGGTTGATTTTCCTGTGAGTGGTACCGAGTAAACAACTCAAGGAGCATCCTGATAGCTTTGCTGTCAGAGCTCATTTATGGTCTGAGCCTGAGCTGTTTGAAGAGACTCCTGGTTGATCTGTGACAGATGGGCCTCCACATGCCTTCTGCTAGCAAGCCTTTGCGAACTGTGTCGCCTCACCTGTTGTACTTTCTATATTTGTGCTAACACAACATCCTTGCCATTCTACTGTCTTTATGATACAAGCAGTGTTTTCTCATTCTTTAAAATGAACATTCTGTCCTTATTATGGACTTTAACCTTTAACTTGGTATGGTATTAATTATTATAAGATAAAAATGACTGATTTAAAGGTGACTTTTATGCTTATCTTCATCTTCACAGTGTTGTTCTTGGACTCTACTGTAGTATTCGTGGATGATTCACAGTTGATTCACAGTTGACTCACATGGGCGACCGTGGCTCATGGGGTTGGGAAGCGCATCTGTAACCGGAAGGTCGCTGGTTCGATCCCCGGGCTCTCTGTCCTGGTCGTTGTGTCCTTGGGCACTTTACCCTACCGCCTACTGGTGCTGGCCAGAGGGGCTACAACTGTAGCTCCCTCCACCAGTGAGTGAATGAATAGTGGTATTGTAAAGCGCTTTGGGTGCCTTGAAAAGTGCTATATAATTCCAATCCACTATTATTATAGATGATTCAACATGTTTGATCTAATACTGGACATTGGTGCGGCTTGTAAGTTTGTGCACTGCCTGTGTTTGAAGAAGTTTTAGCTCTTTTCTGGCTAAATTCAAGCCAAATATCTCATGATTGACTGACTGACCACATTAGGGATATGTGCTCTCATCATATAGATATAGAGTAGAAAAAATGCTCTGAATCTGTGCATTTGGAGCAGTTTGAAACCTGAGCTGGATCATAGGGATTACTCGTACATAATCAAAAAACACACTGCTGGATCGTAGCAGTGTAAAGCAATGTATTTGTGTTTTTCAGTTTATTATGTTGCCTCAGCACCTGCTAAGAGCATTTTATGTTACCTTGAGGGACAAAAATACCTATGACTATTGTTTCTTTAGGAGTATGTCCCCCAAGACGCTCTCAGAAACAGTGTGATGCATTGTTTAGGTTCAGCAGTATTTCCCCGTGTCTGCGTCAGCCGTGGAAAATATCGTCAGAAAGCATTTGAACAGATGTGTTTTTGATTGTTTGGGCTCACTGGCTCAGAAACAATAATTTTGAGCTGAAAGCAGCAGTGCGCTGCATTCGCAGTCGTCTAAGCGGATGGTTTCATACACTGCGGGATACATTGGAAGTGAAAGAAAATTTCATTGGTGCTTCTCAAAGCAATGAAAACAAAAACAACAGCAAGGGATCTTTCCAAGGACAGTGTCTTTGTTATTCTGGAAAACCCACAGACCATATTCTGAGCAGTTTCCCTTCAAAGTATCTTACTTTCTGCCCCCTTAAACAAGGGGACTAATGACCTATTATTCCTACTCTAGTCATTTGATATGAATCCTGATATTCTCAAATTAAGACTGAAAGTAGGCAGTTAAACGTCATTATTTCATTTCAAATCCGGTGCTGTGGACAACAAAATAGTGTCAGTTTCTCATTGCACTACAGCTGCTCATAAAAAAGGATCTGTGAACCCAATAATTTAGTAACTGCAGTGTAGGTAATTTAATGCCTGGTTAAATTTCAGCTTTGTTATGAATGGAGTAACAGGGCCTCTGTGATATGAATGACTTAGTTTTAGTGTACCTTTTAGCTGTCATATATATGGTTGTCTAGGATGGCTACACAGATTAGAGTAGACACAGTTAAATAAATATACATTTTAATTACATAACACATAGAAGAAATCCACAAAACACAGTTGTCTTGCATGCATATATTACAGCTTAGCATAAAGCATGCTGAAATCATTAGTCTTATATAAACTTCTTATTATATCAAACCCAACCACATTTTTCTGCCTTAAGTGTTCTTACTCTAACATAAATATGGGTCCTATAGAGTCTGCTGCTTCTTGTCAGACTGCATCTATCACGTTAAGAGAAGCTTGTTAACCCCCTTCTTTGCTACCCCACACAAACAGACATCTTTTCATTTGGCTCCAGTCTCCCTCACTGTGTTCTTTTGCTTTTGTTTGAAAGTGTTTGGACCTAATCCCCTCTAATGAGCACAGTGCACTCAGTTGTTGTGTCAGGACACTGGGAAATGGGGTTTTGTTGTGGGGCTGGCCAGAATATAGAGTATGCTGTAAGGCAGTGTGACACGGGCCTGTTGTTTTGACCCTCTGATTTCACATCGGACCTTTTGGTTTGTCATGTCCAAACTGTTATCGGTGCAGTACTAGCACTGCAGGTGCTAGAGCCATTAAAAAAAGCAATACTGGAACTACATTATAATGCCAAACTGACCAATTTGAGGGTTATAAAACACTTCACATCTCTGTGTCAGATATTGGGCTTTCCAAGAATGAGTCTGCAAGAAACAGCATGCTAGCAGGCAGCAGTGCATGTCCAGATGGGAACGCCGCAATCACTAGCTGAGATTGGTGAGATTAAGTTAAGAGCCTGTGGTATTTTCCAGACAAACCAGCTGGACATCTAGTATTGAACAGAAAAAAGGAAAAGTATTACAGGTGGTAGCTTAAGTGGTCTTAGGAGCTACATCAGTAAGAAATAATATCTGAAGCTGAGGAAATGCAGTGAGTTTAATTCAGCAATAGAAGCACTCATAACTATCAGCCAGTTCACACTTTTAGGTAACTTAAAGGGCACTGTTTTTATGTTTGTATGTCTCACTACTTGCAAATTCCTCAAAGTATGCTATTTAGAATTTGACTGGACTAGAAAAAGTCTCACCTTGAGCAATAAAGCATAATTTAAGCATCACAATCTACCTATGTATTATAGTGGACCATTTATGATGGTCATTTATGATATACTCATTTGTAATATGAGTATATCACTATCTACTAGAGCACCATTGGGAGGTGGTGGAACAGGAGATTCACAGTATGGATGTGCAGCAAGTGTGTGATGCTATGATGTCAACGCGGACCAAAATCCTGTTTCCATCACCTTGTTGATTCTGAGTCTAACCCAGCACTGCAAGGTAACAAAGTGACTAGTGAATGTGTATCAAAAGCATTTAATATATTATACTATTAAATCTACTGAAATTGTTATTGAGGATGTAGATTCCACCTATATGGCTGGGTGTATGACCCCCCTCCCCTTTTTTCCATTTAATTTGAAAGAATAAACTGTAGAAAGACTCGAGTAGAGTCCTGTGTTTTAATCGTACTCTGTGTACCAGAACATGTATTACATGTATAGTATAGTACATAGTGTTACATAGTGTCCACATTTAAGACTATTTATACAGTGGTGCACAGCTCATGTTTCACTCTGAACTCAGTGTGTGTGTGTGTGTGTGTGTGTGTGTGTGTGTGTGTGTGTGTGTGTGTGTGTGCGTGTGCGTGCGCGCGCTTAGGTGCATGAATCCTGCCATCAGGCTGTTTAGTAGTCTCTCTGGTCTCATTTCTTTTGGACTGTTGGACCAGTGTGACCCAAGTCCCAGACACCATGGTAGACATCAAAGCTACCTTTGCTCCCTCAGAGACTGGATCCAGACATGTGTTTGTTTGTACTACAGGGTACGCGGTGTCTCTGCTAGAGAAATCTGCCTCGTTATGTTTTAACACTGCATGCTCTACAGGCCAGAACTATCCACTTTGATTCACTTTTTGATCTGCTTAATCACCATGAGAAATCTTATAGAGCGTGTCTGATCTACATGATGCAAGTGTAGACACAATAATGAGTAGAGTTACATAAATGTATATTAATAGCAAATCACATCAGGTGGTGAGAGAGTCACAAAGACAGAGAAGAAAAAACTAGTGTGCAGCATACAAAGCTTTGTAGTTTTTCAAAGCTTCGGGAAATCTTGTGGGCAAAATTCTTATTGTCTGGGTTAATTAATACCTACTGTATGGGGCATTTAAAGGCAAGACTCAACATGCTACACATGTTTACTTTGAGCGTGGCTGCTGCTGAGGTCAGGTGGCAGATTTGCAAACAGCTTGCAAGCTCTCAAAAACTTTAAACAAAACATAAAGATTTGCATAGAGGCCCAGGCATACGTGCATGAAGGCCATGTTGTTTTTCAGTGATGCCTTTTTTAAGTTTTATGCAATAACTTCTACACGTGGAAAAAATTATGTTTTAATGGTCAAGGACTGCACACACTGATCTTTGCTTTGTGTACAAACAGATATAACAGTGTCTTTTATTTACTTTAGGTGATAGGTATAACACCTGAGATTTCCACATGCTTCTGATGATGAATTCTTTCTTCTCTCAACTTCCTCTCCAGCCTGGGTTGGGGCCCTGGCCATGGGCATGATCTTCTTCTGTTCACCTGTGGTCAGCATGTTCACAGACCACTTTGGCTGTAGGAAGACGGCTGTGAGTGGGGCGGCACTGGCTTTTATAGGACTGCTCAGTACATCGTTTGCAAAGTAAGACATGTTTGTCAGATACGTCCTTTGAAAATATGAATGAAACCATGTAAAATTATATGCTAAATCAGGGGCTCTAGATGTTTTGCCCTTTTAGGCCTCCAAGAGGAAATTTTGTGGGTAAACCATTATGAGCTTGCACATGAAAAACCCATGTGGGCGCCATGTCGGCTAGCCCATGTGGTCCTCTGTGAGAGTTTTCTGTGGACAACCTACACTGGGTTTATTTATTATTATATTTATGCTCGTTTTTCTTCCTGATGTCCTTTTTTTTTCATTGTAGTTCCTTGATCCTTCGTTACTTCACATACGGCATATTGTTTGGCTGCGGCTCCTCCTTCACCTTCCAGCCCTCGTTGGTCATCCTGGGCCACTACTTCCGCCAGCGCTTGGGTCTGGCCAATGGTGTGGTGACGGCTGGTGCCAGCCTCTTCTCTATGGGCCTTCCGGTGTTACTGAAAGAGGTGGTGGAACCTTTGGGCCTCAGCAGAACATTCCAGATCCTCAGCGTCTTCATGCTGATCCAGGCTCTGCTGGCGCTAATGTTCAAGCCTCTGATCCCTGCTGGGGGAGACATGGGCCCCCAAGGAATAGGCCCCGACCATTCCGAATCCCAAACTCAAGCTAATGCTCAAGGTGGAGGCAGGTGGAGCAGGGCGATAACCACCATCAGGAAGTACTTCAATTTGCGTGTGTTTCACATCGTCACATACCGAGTGTGGGCATTTGGAGTGGCTACAGCTGTATTGGGCTATTTCGTGCCATATATCCATCTGGTAAGAACATAAGATAGGCAAGAAGTAATTGTTTCTAAATGGTGCTGCTTTATAAATATTTACAATAAGCCCAGTTTTTATGTGAATAAAGAAAGCACTGTTTAACAGCCTTTCAGTTATTTCTGCTGTGGTAAAACATTCCGACCTCTTTATTTATATTATGCGCTTACACAAAGAGCATTAGAGATCAGTGGGGTTCCTAATCATGGGTTTGATGTAAAAATGCTTTTTCTCAGCTGACACTGGAAATGAGGGGGAGTGAGATTGATGTCAGAGCCATACTGTTGCACTGTGGGAGGTCTGGTGCCATTCATCTTCTGTAGGCCTTTTGGAAAGAGGGCAATTGAATGCATGTCAACTGAGTAAATGAGCAGTGGCTGAACATCGCCTTTGTCCCTCTCAATAAGGATAACAGAGTTTGTCACAATAGCTTCTGTGAGGAACAGCACTCAGTTGCCAGGAGTTAATTGTGCTCTTCTTAATTTTTTTTCTGCTTCAATGTACAACCTTTGAAAAAGGTTGCCCAAAGGGAAAATCTATATTTTAAATGTGTCATGTTGAAGCCAAAGAGCTTGACAGTAGTTTACTAACTAAACTACTCAGCTAGAGAAGCCGAAAGTAAAAGAAGTCCATTTATCCATTTTGTTTACATCCACAAACTCAAGTATGTTTTCAAAGTCTGAACTCTGATTGAATTTGGTGTGTGATAGTAAGATAGTAAAAAATGAAGATGAAGTGTTAAGTTGCTGTGAAGTTGATCTCCCTCTATCCAGATGTCGGATGTTCCAGCTCCGGCCTCCCTCTGTCAGGCCTGTTGTTTCAGGCCCGGGCCCAGATGTAAACACTGCCCCGGTCTTTGTATTGGCTCGACCATCTCAGGAAACCTCTCCTGTATGGCCTCTCTGTATCCCTAAACATACCTATCCTATGGCCATTGATGAATGTAGACCTTCAAAGCAGAGCAAATATTTCACAAGGACCAGCATGTTCAGGAAAGACTTCAGAGGGCGGTTTCATGTTTTGGATCTAATTTGGGGGTCACAGCTAAAGGGAGCGGGAGGCTCTGACCTATATGCGTTCAGTCTTCCTGCTCCGCTGTTCCAAAGGTCTGTTGATGTGGACATTTTGTTAATGTTTGAGGTTGATTTGGGGTGAAGGATGAACAATTCCACTCCAACAAATGCTGAGTGTAATGTTTTCTCGGCAATGAAGAATACGGTTCATGAGCACGTTGTATAATATCTTTGTCATTATATGCACGATGGACTTTTACGGACTAACAGTGTCCACAGTAACGATTCTGTCTTATTGTGTCTCTCAGATTAATTTTGTAAAAGAACAGTTCAAGGGCACTGAAAAGGAGTGGGTGCTCCTTGTTTGCATAGGAGCATCATCAGGGGTGGGACGCCTCACTTTTGGAAAGATCGGGGACCTCATTCCTGGTCTACGGAAAGTCTACATGCAGGTGAGGGAATTATTGAAGCTCTAAAATTTATGCAGACTGCTTTTCTTTACTGTTTGGTCTGTTTTTGGGAAAACCTAATGCACTTCACAGTGGTAAGTGTGCCTGTCAAAAAGTGGTTTTTATAAAATTTGCCTCATTCACCCACACAAGCACTTTTTTTTTATGCTTTTCCTTATTATGTAAGAGTAACTCAAACAGTCCCAGACCATCCCACTACCATCACCATATTTGACCGTTGGTATGATGTTACTTTTCTGAAATGCCAGATGTAACGGGACACACGCCTTCCAAAAAGTTCAGCTTTTGTCTCGTCAGTCCACAGACTATTTTCCCAACAGTCTTGGGGATAATCGGGATGTTTTCTGGGAAAACCTAGATGAACCTTTATGTTCCTTTTGCTCAGCAGTGGTTTTCATCTTGGAGCTCTGCCATGCAGGCTTTTTTTGCCCAGACTCTTTCTTATGAAGTCATGAACACTGAGGCAAGTGAGGCCTGCAGCTCTTCGGATGTTTTTCTGGGGTCTTTTGTGACCTCTTGGATGAATCGCCACTGCGCTCTTGTGGTAATTTTGGTCAGCCGGCCACTCCTCGAAAGTTCCCCACTGTTCCGTGTTTTTGCCAGTTATTGATACTGGCTCTCCCTGTGGTTCACTGGAGTCACACAGTTTTAGAAACAGCTTTATAACCTCTTGGGAGTTTTCACTTATTTTGATTCTCATTTGTTCCCGAATTCCTTTGAATCGCACTATGGTGTCTGGCTTTTGACGATCTTTTGGTCAACTGCTTACTTTGTCAGTCTGTTTAAGTGATTTCTTGATCGAGAACACGTGTAGCAGTAATCAGGCCTGGGAACTCAGCTTTCCAAAGATGTGATATACAACAGTTAATTTATGTAATAATTTGTTTAAAAACGGCATTTTGTGTTTACTTGTGTTTACATTTGTGTACATATGTACATATGTTTGATGATTTGAAACATTTAAGCGGGGCAAACACTTTTTCACACACCTGTGTTGTTTGTTAGGCCCAATTTTACTGAAATATTTATTTTTTATTACCTTGGTGAAATTAGAAATTCGTTTTTATTAATGGCTTAATGGCATTATGTTTCTCTGGAATGAAAAACAGACTTGCGAACACAAGGGGAATTACATGACTGGATAATGTCAGGTTCCTTGTCTATTTCCCAGAAAATAGACAAGGTGACGTGAGAGCAATTTGTGCAGTGAATACAAACAGGAGTTGCCATTTCCTGCACGTGCGGCTTCTGCTGAATGCAAAACACAGGGATCCATTGTTTTGACCAGCAAACTCGTTCAAGCAGCTCACTAAGCAAAGGGGCACGGAGTTGCCGATTAATTAAAATATAAAAACAACTTTGAAGTTGTGGGACATGCATACTTAAAATGTGCTGATCTGTGATATCAAGCAAAGTATTTCTAAAGCTTCATTTGCAGTATTAGTCATATAAAGAATTTCCTGACAGTGTGGCGGTGAATATTAAAGAGTCTAGTTATGCAAGAGTCTTTTATAGAATGAAATCCAGTATGTTTCTTTTGTCCAAGTGTTGAACACAGTTTTTAATTGCTTAAATCCACATTGTTGTAGTTGTGAAGGGATTTGAAGTAACATTCTTTGGCTCTTTGAAGTGACACAGAACAGTCATTCACAGCATTCATGCCGTAGACACTTAGTGAACAGACAGCTTTATATCTTTTATATTTTTCATAATCATTAACATGTAGTTTATTAATCAGATTGATGACGGCACCGGTGCACTCAGGTGAATTACCATAGTAAATGTAACTATGATGCTGAACTTTGCCTGACGGAGACGTTAGATGAGAGCGATGACACAGGAAGAGTCCTGAATTGGAAAAATTAATTCAAAAATTCTTTTATGTTGTTACCACAGAAATGCACTTAATTTAAATAGTATTTCACAGTAAGGACCAACAGGTCTTACCGAGCCAAGTGGTAAGACTTACTCATATCAGAACTTTGTTTTTCTGCATATTTAAAGTATGTATGAGAACATATCAGGACTTTTCATCGTTCATGATCAATTTCTCTGGCAGACAAAGTACTTTTTATTTTCTCAAATAACTTTACCTGACATAAATATGTGTAGGTGGAGCCTGTAGATGGAGGGTGTGTCCACTTGCACACGTAACCATATCTGCCTGAGGCCAGATTTACATGCATGAACAAAGGCAAAAAGAAAGCAATGTGAGCCATCTGACTGACTGCATTTAACGCATATTTATCTGTCAAAAAGATTGTTAGGAGAGCATCAAGACGTTCAAAGCTTGTTTATGGGTTCTTGCTGTATTTTGCAGGTGGTCTCCTTCATTGTTCTTGGCCTGATGTCCATGATGATTCCTCAGTGCTCGATGTTCGCCGGGCTGGTGGTCGTGTGTGTGTTTCTGGGACTGTGTGATGGATGCTTCCTCACCATGATGGCTCCCATAGCTTTTGAGCTTGTCGGGCCCATGCAAGCCTCGCAGGCTATAGGTTACCTTCTAGGCCTCATGTCTATCCCTATGACTGCAGGTCCACCTATCGCTGGTAAGAAGCTATATATGTGTGTGTGTGTGTTTTCCACTTTTTGAATAGCGCAGATATATGTCATTTACACATCTGTGCTATGCTTGTTGGCAGTAGGGATGCACAATGAGCTGAATTATATTAGCAGAGAAAAACCTTGGACGTGGGTACAACTAACGTAATTGGTAAACGGAAAAAGACAAATGCACAGCAGGACAGGTTATACACTGGTTTGTGTTTAGAGATGGTTGGGCTCATGACCAGCCACTGCCCGTCTCCAAGGATTAGTGTTCATGAAAAAGCACACACAGTACTGATCTTCGATCTGCGTTCTTTTGTTCCGCTCGCTAATAAAAAAATAATACCTAAGAACACTAGTCGCAGCACGCTGCTGACTCAGGCATCTTTTGACTTTATCTCAACAATCTCTTTTGCCTCTCACACATACCAGAGCTGCTTTTACTACACAACTTTCTGACTTCCTGACAGCTTTTTCCTGGCCTTTGTAGCCTCAGCCAACATACTGAAACTCTTAGATGTCAAATGCTAAATGTACTTTTTTAAATGAAGAGTCATGCTGTCTGGCAGGGTTTTTTTTTTTATTTCTTTAAAAGAGATTTAGTTTTCAAAATAATCTTCACTTCCTAATGACAGATTTTTGTTTTGCATTGCAGTATTAGAGACAGCAGTGCACTGACATAGATCAATGGCATATCCAAAGCTATGCCAGCAATATTGGTGCAACCAATAATCCTGCTTACTGTAATAATAAATTACTATGCACCTCTTTCATAGTGTGGTTAAACAAAAAGAGGCATTATGACAGTATATACCTGCAAATTGTTCAACTAAAAAAAAACCTGCTAGTTGTAGCCTTGCTGTATTCATTTCTTTTGCAAAGTCTTGTTTTCATAATCAAGATATAGGAGATCCAATTTCATCTTTAATGTTTTCTATTCAATAATCAGAAATTTAATTTTAATTTTGGGCATTTTGTCTTTTTTCACAATTGACCAGAAATCTAGGAAACAAGACAGAAAATAAGGAATTCTTACTGTCAAATTCCATGAATTTTACAAAAATGAACAGCCTTGTTTCTTGGCTTTCTGTCTCCTTTGTTAGCGAACAGTATCACCAAAAAGTAATATGAACAGGCGGTGCAGGTGGGATGTTAATTTAAGAAATTAGACTGCACTACTTGAGAATGCACACTGTGACCTGCATGCAGAGAAAGTGTCTTTTTTATTGACTTATGGTTACTGGAACCAAAGAACTGTGTTAGAGGAAAAACTGAGGGGCTGCACCAGGCCCCATGATAAGAAAAACAAATATTAGTTTGAATTGTGACACATACAGAGCCTTCAATTGGAGTCCAAAGATAAAACATAGTTGGAAATGAGCATATTGGGGCCCCTTTAAGCCACAAAAACAACCATAATAACAACCATACTATAGAACGTAAAAACGGTTCGTTTATTCTAATGCTTAGTTAGCATTAAAGCCTACAAGCAGACAAACTGAAACTAAGTAACACTGTGTTTATGAGGCTTGACAAAGCTTATTGTCTTCTAGGCCCAGAGCTGTAGTTAAACCCCCCCCCCCTGCTCTTTTCTCATGTGTCCTTGAGGCCCAACAAATGTGGATTTCCTTCCTCATATAATCTTTGCACACCCTGGTCTGTAAATGGTTTGAATACTGCATTGTTTACTACAACGTTTGGTAATTACAAATCTTTTTCTTCACTGCCTTCGTCAACACACGGCCTGTCTTTGCTAGTGTGCGATGTCCACCATCTGCCGGGCAGCGGAGTAGCTTAAATGCATTGCAGGATGTGGAAGAGGGTGTACATTTATTTCACTGTGTGTATACACAGTATAAACAAACTGGGAATCTGCTTGATCTAAAGCAGATGTTTTAATCTTTCCATTCGCATTTTGCTTCCTTACCTCCTCTGCACAGGTCTCCTGCATGACTATTTTGGGAATTACACAGTGGCCTTCTCCCTGGCTGGTGTGCCTCCGATGGTGGGGGGCGTGGTGCTGTTCTTTGTGCCCCTGATCCACCACAGGCTCCAGCGAGGCCAGGCATCACCAGAGGAGACCTCCACAACTGCCCACATGTTGCCCAGCGCCCCACCGGCCGAGGAGCCCAAGAGCTGCTCTAATGGAGACATCCTCCCCGGCTATACAGATGTAGAGACACACATCTGATCGCATCATACAAAGGTTAGACATATTTACATATGTCAAATGCTGCTCGTGTATGTGAAAACATACATGTATGCAATAACATCTAGATATTCCAATTCCTTCTAAAACATATTGCATATACTGTTTTTCTCAGGGATTCAGCCCACCAGCACCTTTTCTCATCCATAATCTGTCCTCCACCTAACCAGAAGTCTCAACTGTGGATTTCCTGTTGGCTGATCTTTAACCTGCAACCCTCCAAGACCCCCCTCTTTGGCTGTTTTCTTTCTTTTTTTTGTTTAATGCGAAGAGAAGTTGACAATGCTCTGGCGACAAGTCACGGAGTGGATGAAAAGAGGGCACATTAGCGTCGGAGGTGGATAAAAGCAGAAAAGCACAACGTAGTCTAATCTAGTCGTTGTAACACATACCTCCAAGAGGAACTAAATGAAGACTAAAAAGCTGTCTTTCTGATTTTATAGCATTTAATCGTGCTACCTTAGCTTTTGAAGCTGTAAAAAAGATACACTTTTATTTTTAGATCTTCTGAGAAGAAGAGGTATATAAAATAACAACTAGTGAAGGGATAAAGTCAAAATGTCTTTATGTTGTACCTCAAACATCTGATTTCTTTTTAACACAATGTGTTTTATTTAGTATGTGTAGCTAAAACATGGTTATATCTTAAATGATTTGCAGCTTTGCTGTATTCGGCTCTGCGCTTCTGTTTCTGTTTTCTGCTGTTACAGCTACAAGAGAAGCATGCGTACTGGTTGTACATGTCACAGGAGGTAACAGATATTTCTACAAGTAGATGAGCCAGCAGATACAATCCACCTCAGCTCAGCTGCACATGAGTTTTAGACCCTGGCGTCACTGTGTGTTCACACCCCGCTGTCTAAAACTTAAGCAAAATTTCTTCACCAGTCTGCCTGCAAGGAGGACGTGTGTAATTGTGGCAGCTGTTGATTCCACTGATTCATATGCAATGAACCTTAGTGTTTTTGACCTGTTACCAGTTTTCAGTGTTGGGTCAGTGACTTTTCACCACCACAGTTAATAGAGGGTATTTCCTCCTGAGTCTGTAAAGCATAAATGTTTGCTTTTTTTCTCACCAAACTACATTTTTTTTAGCAGGGTGCTACACAAATCTGAATTAACTGTGTCTGACACAGCTTTGAAAAATAACTGACAACAGTTTTGTGCTTTATAGGTGTGGAAAGAGTTGGAGTCAAGCAGTAGTTATGGGAACTTAATGGCTGTGAAAAACATAGACTTTATTCAACTTTGCAAAAGGCATTTTGTTTGAAAGTGTATGTGTGTGTGGTTGCCTAGTGATCTTAGTAAAGACTAGTTTGAGTTTCACATCCTTTCTGCCTGTTTAAAGGTTATGATGTGGCCTAAGGATTGTTTACAAGAAGGTTATGGTTGGGGTGTTGGTTTGGATGGTTAGGGTTAAAGGTAGGGATGATGTCAGTGATCTTCCTCACAAAGATAGTCATGCATCCTGTGCGTGTGTGAATCTGCATTTAATACTAGAGGCATTTATTTAATATGAAGCTAAGTTGGGGTCTGTTGATGAAGAGGGGGCAGAGATTAAAAACTGCCAAATGGCCCAAGCCCTCATCAGGCCGTCTCACAGATAATCCAGCCAGTTTGCTGCTTTAATTTAGCATCACTACGATGACATCACTAGTTGCTTTTGCAGAAATGGAAAACAAGAGACAAAGTTGCAATCTTGTTGAGATAAAGTATTCCCTCGGGAGGACAATCTGTAGTGGTAACTACCACTTAGCATTTTGGACCACTTACCTCTGCGCTTTTAGATTGCAAGTGCTCCTGAACGACAGACTTCAGCGAACAGACGTGAAGTAGAGCTGCAATAATCAGCTGTTTGAGTTACACAATTCTACGTGGTTCTATGCATAACTGAATCACAAAGGGGGGAATGCCGTGGCATTCAGCTGGTGTTTCTTTGTTGGTTTCCCCTCCTTGCTTTCACTGCCATTACTCAGTCCGCTCCTGCTTGACAACAGATCGGAGCATAAAAGCTGCACAAACCTCACTGCTGAGTGTAGTTTTTATATGGACAAATGGTTCTGGATAGGAAACATACACCTGTACCTCAGTAATTACACAATCCTCAGCAATCCAGTTGAACACTTCGACATTCTCTATTATTTTATAACGTTGCTGTTCTGTGTTGAGATTTTTCTTTTTTTCTGTTACAGTCCGAGAGCCACAAAACTGCCAAATGTCTGTTGTCAGTCAGTCTCGCTTCCTCCAAAACAGTTGGTGCGTAAACGTTTTTAACAGATCTTCTGCCTTCGTATCCGTTTACTCTGTTGTATTCAGTCCTCAGCATTCCCGCTCTTCCGACACATTCACTGATCGTTGTCACCGTGAGTTCTCTTCATGAAATTGTCTTCAGCTGAAGAAATGCTGTTATTTAACTGTCAGATATACTTAATAAGATGGAATAAAGGAATATAAACAGTTTATATGCGCAGGTTGGGAAGCAAAATCACACGTCTCTAGTTTGAGGTCTAAGGCTTTGTTAGATTTTATTGGCAGTGCAAACGGTTGTTTACATAATTTGCAGCTGCTGCTGGCCAATAAAAAAAAATATGGTGGTAATTAAAAATGATGGGTTTACACCAGCCATATAAACGAATGGTTTAACATGATTTCATCCCTCCATGCAAAGCCTCTTTTACTTAACTAAAACAGTCACCAGCTGCCCAACAGATTTTGTAATTAAGTATTATAAATGATTTCAGGAGATGCTTCTAGAAGTGCAAATTCAGCGTCCTTATAGAGTTGGTTTATATTTATATGAAGTGCATCCACCCATATGTAAATATGAAATGTAATGAGGCAAATTCTATTATATAAACTATCTTTTTTGTGTACACTGTCAATTCCACTGCTGCTCAAACTAGGGGCCTGTGTCATTTATATTCCACCACTGGTAAAAAAAATTAGATAAAGCTAATGTCGCAACATTATGTCCTCTTCGGTGACCCCCCAGTTGTGAAAAGTGATTTTTCTTTATGCACCAATTATATCTGTCCAAACAAAATGTAATAGATTTCTTCTTTTTTTCAGTTTTTAGCATGTCATTGACTGTGAAGATACATTTTTTGCTTTTTTTCTTAATTTTTAGTATGTTGGCATCATGTTAATGTTTTCCAAATCACACTTTTGAAGACGAAAACAAGACATTTGAGTCACAGCAGAAACCTAAATTATGAAAACTTGCCTGCCTTACATTTACCTATACACGTGATCAAAATTTGTTTCCAGATTTGAGACCAGAATTAAAATCGTAACATTTTCAATTATACCTGTGCTACTTTTCTACTGATTATCTTTGATTTTCTAACCGCTTCGTCCAGTTTCTGGTCAGAAGCAGCTGAATGCTTTTTATTTTGTAACCTACTGTAGATTAAGATACAGAAAAATGACATATATTACTATAATTCTTTTAAATGAATCATAAATAAGTTTTTTTTGTGATACTGCTGCAAAGAGAACTGTTGAGTTAGTTTGTGTGTCCGGTTCTGAAGGAATACATAAAGGCGAAACACCCAAATGAATGAAAAATGAGACACATGAGTACATGTGTATGGTTACAGGGTGTCTGCTAAACCAGTGTTTGGCTTAGCAAAGCCGTTTGATCTATGCAGCATCACTGGGTTTGTGGTCCACTTTATGAGACTGCATTAATTTCATTCTGATCATGTCAGACTGTAATAATGAATGCTTACTTGGACCACAAGTTGCATTTGTCTCTGTAGCACTCAAAGCTGTAGCTGGTAGTAGTTCGGGAACCGCTAAACCTACAGTACAGCCCCTTATACTTTACCTAAACTATGTATGTACTACTAACACTACTACTTGTTTTACTTAATGTTTTCTTTTTAAATACTTTGTATTATTAGAAGGCTTTGAGTTGTTGTCAGACTTGTCACTGTTTCCCAGAAAGCTTCACCTTTTTCTCCTGTGCTGCTTGTGACATACACTATGCATGTAGCAGCTTCAAAGAGGCACATTAAACTCTAATGTACACGTGAAAAGGCAACGCTAGCATGATTCCCTATGTGCTTTCTTGGTTGTTTCAAAACCCATACAAATACAGGTCAGATGAACTAAATGTGATTATACTGTGTCATATTTACTTGTTTTTTTTTTTCTGCTTGTTTGTTTTATAGGTAATTAAAAAAAAAGCATAATTTCTTCACCATTTGCAGTAGCAAGCCTTGTTATACCGGTGTGCAATGTGTCATTTTGCTGCTCTTCAGACCTCAATCTCTGCTTACTGTGTAACATCTAAAACAAACAGTATGTGTTAAAGCATAGCTGAGGGTCTCTATTATACGCTGAGTCATGATTTGCAGATTACTATGGATCCCTTCCAGGAAGAACACAATATTACAGGTCGCACATGCATAATGTATAGACCTTTCCACGCTCCACATGTTTTATTCAGTGATATTTTTTTTTTAAATGATCTTAACTGTAGGCATCATGTTTCCACATTTATAAATGTTCCAATGTTTTTAGTAACTGTGTTTTTAAATTTTGTGAAAAACTTAATGGTCAAAAGTTTTGAGCACTCCCTCCATTTTCCAGGTATTTATTGAGATTAAGGCTGTTAATGTCTATTGACCGTAAATGGTACAAAGGTAAGCAGTAAACTGCAACAAAAACAGAATTAAGAAAATAATTTCCAGTAGCGGTGCAATTCAACGTAGCTTTGAAAGTAGATGCAAACAATTTTTCTAGAGGCAGCCAAACATCGAAAGGACCCAGAGGGCCAGCTTCAACAGGAACATTCTGTGATTTAATTGTTAGGGTATTATTTACTTGGTCATGAGGGAGTTCTTTATCATTAGTGAAAGCTGCAAAACATGAAAAAAATCATTCATGTCCTCCTTCACATTTTCCAAAACCGTGCAGTGGGCCAGACTGGAGTCCTTGGCGTCCCTATCCCTGCCCTTGAGCCTTATATTTGACCCTCCTGGTTTAGACACTATTTGATGTAAACAGCAGTAACTGGAAAAGTGGAGGTGTGCTAAAACTGTTGACTGATTCTGTACGTTGTCTGGATGGTTCTGCAGTGATGCTCAGCTAAGACCTCCTCACAGTCTTACATATTTCAGTACAGGGATCTGATAAACCTTCCTTCTCTAACCTCCAGTAAGGTTCCTGCAGTTAAACCTCTATGGCCTCTCGTCACTTCTTAAAGCTGCCACCTTTTGTCCGTCTGTTTCACACAAGCTGTACTTTTGCAAAAAAAGAAGCTTTTTTTTTTTTAAATATATATCTATCTGTTTAATTCCTTTTACAGAATGATCAAACAAGGCCAGTGTCATCACATGATCTGAGATTAAGTCATGGTGCTAGAAAAATGTATGGATTTTTTTTTGTCATAATTTTGAATCTGTATCAAAAAAGGCACATTTTTTTTTCTATTAAACCTATAATAAAGACATAATATTGCAGCTCATGCTGTCACTCTTTTCTCTATAGCTGTGCGCTTCGCTTGTCAACTCTTTCACCCAACTGGAGATTAATTTAAGTGTAATTCTGTGCTGTTGTCCATGGACACACTCTCGGTCATCAAATGTGCAATCTGTTCACTATCACCAGAGCAACATGGCTGTGTTCATTCAGGCTTTAAGTCCTGCGCTGGCCTCAGTATTCCTCACTTAGGCACCCGGTCATGGTTAATCTTGAAGTTTACGCTTTGGTGAATCAGCTCCGGAAAGCAAAGCTATTTATGTACAAAGGAAATGACTGGGCACGTGTCACAAGGCAAAGAATAAATCAGTTGTTGACTTCAACTCTGAGCTTGGAGCTCCTTTATAAAGCAACTATAAACACAATGAAGAATGATATTTCTGGGGCACACATTACATTATTTAACCCCTTTAAATGTGAGCGTTCTAATATTGCATGACTATATAGTGTTTAATTCATGGATTTCTTTTATACTTCTGTAGGCACATGTTGTTTGTCCAGCCATCCATCCAAGTCAATTCTCTCAAAAGTGGCTAATTTACACCTTAACATGATTGGACGCTGAACTCCACCCTCAAATTCTCATTCTATATTAAATCCATCTCAAAATCTGCAGAACACAGCTGAAACCCTCATTAATGCTTTGATCACTTCCCACCCAGATTACCTCCTGGTTGGCCAGTCTATCAAAGCCCTGAACATGCTGCAGTATGCTCAGAACAGTTCTCTCCTTAACGTTTTTCAGATACCCCGTCCATGCAGTATTTAAACCCAGAGTACACCATCACTCATTGTGCGACTGTTATGGTAGTGGTAGTATACCTCAGGCCACTTTTTACTTATTTGCTCACCTGTGTGTTTGGAGTCATTATTCTTGTACTTACCTGTATCCTACTTCCTGTTTGAGTACCTGCTGTAAAGAACTCGCTACTAACCTGCCTGAGCAACGCTTGCCCTACCAGCCTCACTACTTACTACTTACTACTACCTCACTACTGATCTTTTTACTTACTGGAAATCAACCTTATAGAATGAGACAAGAAGTCACAACCTTATTTTCTAGTAAATTTACTTGAACTAGTCCTAGCCATGGAGAAAGGAGAGACACTGTACTAAGAGCTGTTTGGTAAACCTGCTAAAGAAATTGGCCTGAATTTGATTTCTGCTGATGCTGCTTTACCAGTGATATTCATTGTTCTTCCAAAACACAAAAATCATTAAACCCTTTGACTCATTCCTACATGTTGACCCCTCTAGAAGAAAACAGAACGATTTTCCTTTAAGAATTGTTTTCATCTAATCCTCTAGATAGATTTGCAGTTAGTGACTGGTATTACCTGTTGGAACAGTACTGGCTTCTATCTTACCACAATAGTGTTGGCACAGCAAATGATCTGCCTTGAAGGTACTTTAAGGAAGTGCCTTAGAAAAATATGTTTTAACAGTAGATCTTTCCATATAGTGAAAACTACAGAAGATTGTTTTGACTGCTTGTTTTTGACAAAATAGTTACCGTCACTGAAGTTTTTACTTATTTTTTTTTAAATATTTGTTATCTCAAAACGTCAAGTTAACTATAAATGTCAATTAATTTTTTTTTTATTGAGATAATAACTCCCCACCCCCCTTCAGCAGCTGAAACAAACTTCAATACTAAACCTTTTTTTCCTAAAGCAAACACCAATGTAACACTCCAAATTGTCCAGCAGGGGTCCCTGTCCTCATGTCTTATATTGAAAGTAGTAAAGTAAATAGTAAAGATTGAGTTACTGCAAATAAATGTACTTATTTTAATAATTATATGATAATTAATTGAATGTAGTTTAATATTTATGCTGGTTGGTTTTATTCTCTGTCTCCTACAATATTTAGTGGGCATGCACTTGAGTCTTTTTTCTTTCAAAAAATATGACTCCTGTAACCGTACGAGCCACTGATTTTCAAGTTTAGATTTGTTTGCAAGTCCATGAGCCAGCCTTTAGACAACGGTGCATGTTCTTGAGTCACCTAAGGGTTTACATGATTTCTAAAAATCATTTAAAAACTCAGATATTTGTGACGTGTTGTGAATGCACACAAATGTTTAAACATGAGCAGAATCTGACTAAAGAACACATTTAAATCTAAACTTTTAGAGTTTAAATAAGTCAAAGCAATGATGTTAACATGTAGATAGTAACTTCCACAAACAAGCAGCTTTATACCAGAACTGTCAACTCATTACAATCTGATGATGTCTGAAAGTAGCAAAAACAAATGAGGACAGGAGACAGATAAATCATGTCTATACTATATGTGTGCTAGTGCAGCAAGAGGACTATTCAATGAGATATGAAACACATTATATGATATTTCTCTCTCTCTCTGTATTGATTACACATGATAAAACCAGATATTTTTGTAGTTAATGCTGAAAAAGTGGTTACAGAAACAACAGATATTTCTATTATTTTACTGTTTACAGATAACTAATTTAATATATTACTTACTTAACTTAGATGCAGGCCATGGTATTTACAGAAGTCTGTAAAGCTGATTAAAAAAATGGTAAAACCCCACAACATTTAATCCATTTTCGTTGAAATGTGCATGTTTAAACAGACACACGATTATGTAGAAAAACCGATGTTGAGATGATTCTGTGCTTGTGAAATATTTGTAATCTCAAAGTTTTTCCGGGTAATAGGGTGTTGTCACAATGGAAAATCGGCAAATGGTCCATGCTGCACATGTGGGATGGTTCTTAATATGGTCAAGACCTACTGTTGCAAAGAACTGTTTATTCATCACCATGGTAACTGAAAACCCTGCAGTTTATTTGGAAGCAAAGCCCCCGAGTAAGTCCATTCAGCAGCTCCTCTTTGAACAATGCATATAGGCAGTGAGTAATCATTACATTGAACTTTGGAGGCATTGGCAGATTTTCTAAACGGTATTAAAAATAGAGTTTGAAGATTATTATTGTTAATCTGACCATCTGGTCACTTTATTAGGAACCATTGTGCAATCTACTGCAAAGCAGTGCAGCATCTTCTTCAAAAATTTGACGGTTCCTGTGACAGGTTTCATGTTAAAAAACAGGAGGTGCTTGATAGAAGCGCAATTTACGAAGAGCTGTTTCACTGGTTTGAATTAGATTTGACAGTTACAGTCCCCAATATCGGTGTATATTACACAAATACATTGTATAGTGGTTATTGCTTATAGTAGTCTCTTGCTTAATATGAGAAAACAATGTGAAAAAAAGAATTATTCTTGTTCAATTTTGCAAGAAGAAAAAGAAGATGGTGGGAAAAAAAAAGTATAGACGAGGCACTTCTGTTTTTGTGTGTTTTTTCCCCCCTAATCTATATGTCGGTTCTCAGGGACCTTAGGCCAAGGTAAGAAGTGATGTCAGTGAGGGTGATAAAACTGTGGTCTTTTCTTCAGTTGTGTCACTTTGTTTTCCTTCCTGCTGGTTTGTAAAAGCCCCGAGAAACAGATTCCTTTACACTGTTGTCACAACAAGAAGTGTGGCAATTGCTCACTGAGGTTCACATTTATAAATGTTTGAAAAAATCTGAAAATTCTGATCACTCATTGGTCATATTTGGAAATTCTTAATCAGATTACTGTCTGTGTGGCAGCTGACGTTTTGAAATCAGAATCAGTAATCAGTTTGGTTAAATACAGTTCCAAAGCAAATGGGTTCGAGATGTTTAAAATCAGCTCAGCCTGATATGTCACTGTCTAAAAATCCATCCATTCATTATCTTCCACTTATTCAATTCAGGGTGGACGCAGGTGATCACAGCAGTCTAAAAAACATTTTATGGACAAAAGGAAATATCTGTTTCTCAGAAAACCTTCTATGAGTGTGTCATGACTCACATTAAAATAAGGTAAGCTTTAATTTTCTGAAATTACCAACTTTTTAGTTTCATTTTGTTTTCTGGTATGATGCAAACTTAAAGAAGAAGAAAAAAGAGGAAACCGAGAGGCCTTCGAGGCCAGCTGTGTGTTGTTGCACATTTACCTCAAAAACCCACTGCACTGATGACATCCATTTGTCCTGTTTCTCACCCCTTACCAGATGAACAACAGAAATGTCTTCTTACATTTAAATACATTTGAGCTTTAACAAACTTGGATGTTCAATACTTTGATTTTGTGCTGTTATTTTTATGATTATTTGATATTTCTACATTTCTTTCCTTCTTTTTCGTTAATTAAATGTATTTTTGATCTGATCTGCTTTGTAGCTTTAGTTGCCCATCTAGATTACGCTGTCATACTGTATCCACTTTAAAAGATACCTGCTTTCTTTTAATTAGACTTGACACTCAAATCAGCCAAAAACTATTTGAAAAAGTCATCGCAATCAACGTCTTTTTCCAGGAATGATGACGGCTATTTGTGAAATAATAGCGTCATGACAAGAAATAAATATTCCCCACCTCCGCATTATCTTGCTAAATTTTCCTTCCTAAAATAATTTCTTCATGAAATAACTCACAGCAACATTTTTGTGATTAGCTTTGAGGAACCAGAAGGTTTTTTTGGCAACAACAGTGAGTTAACAGCTGTTAGCTGAAAACTTTTCTGCATATGGTGTGAAGCTTTTTCTTAAAGAATTTGAGGAAAGTGGGCAAAAAGAAGTGCCTCAAGCAGCAGAAATAGGAAAAAAAATCAGCAAAAACCTGACCTGAGAGATCCGTCCTTCACTTCATCTGTCTACTGTTGACTGAAGCCTCATCAGAAGGAGGCACAAGGATAGAAGGATGGCTGTCAAGAAGGGAGGGAGGAAACGTGGAGTCTATGGATCCAAATTAGAAATTTTTAATTTTAATGAGGACATGAGGTGCAACTGTGAGTGTCTACAGCAATCTGTAAAACACAGAGGAGGGGCTGTGGTTTTAGTTTTCAACATGACAATGATCCCAAACACACTGCCAGTGCAGTAAAAGCATACCTGGATAAGACAAAAACACATAACAAGGAA